CATCACAACCATCGTAATTGTCATTGTCCTCACCATCGGCTCCCATGTTGATTTCCTCGACATTTGGATCGCAAGCTGGCGTGGTCAAGGCAATCGCACCACCGATGACCACTGAAAGAATAACAAATAAATACAGCCTGTCCATCACGAGTTGGCAGATCACTGCACCTCCACAGTGAGCTAAACAGACGGCTTATACGGAAAAGAAGGGGCCTCCTTCTCCTCATCCCCCCCCTCCCCCTCGCAGGGAATGCGCTGGCTAGGCCAGGGCCCGCAAACTGGCCTGGCCAAGGCCCGTGGCCACGGGCGGATGTCACGGGCTCACGCGGCGGCGCAAGCGGTTTCGGAAGTGCACCGCCCGTCTCTGAACAGCACGCCGGGGCGGGCTCTCTCACGCGAGGGGCCGCGGTGCCAACCCATCCCAGGGCTGCTTCTTTACTGGCCTGGTCTTCTTAAGGTCTGAAAAATTATGGGGTTGTTGTTGCTGTTGGAGTCGTCGCTTCCATGCCCTGGTCGATGAAATCCAAGTAGGTCTCCCGCGTGTCGTAGTCGGTCTGCTAGAACCATTCCCATCGCCGATGATATTCTGCGCCGGATACTGTCCACTCTGGCTGTGGGCTTGTCTCATCATGGTGGCCAGACCTCTTCGCCGCAGAGTCCGCAAACTCGTTCCACGGGTGGTCTGCGTGGGCGAATGCACGGTCAGTGCAGAGGTCGGTGGCGTCGGATGCCAAATGGTGCATCTGCGTAGTGAGTGCGACTAGGTCGTGGTGACTGCACGGTATGTACACTCCCTTGGCCAGTCCAATAGCGGCTTTGGAGTCGGTGCGCGCTGTTGCTGGCATGTTGTTGCGCGTCTCAGCTTGGCTGCATATCCATGCATATGCCCGGATGAGCACCGTCAAGTCTGCAAGTGTCGGCGTGAGTTTGTCAATGGCGGTTGTCGCAGAGTCTGTGACTTTGGCTGTCATGGCGCCGAAGCATGCAAAGCCGCCGTCGTCTTCGATGCCGACCACCACTCCCCAGGCTTTTTTGGTGGAGTCAGTCTGGTGGGTTCCGTCGGTGCACAGGCGGATCCGCTCGATCACTCCGCGGGTTCTGGCTGGGGTAATTTCCATCGCCATAATGGCGGCTAGGTTGAACCGCTCTGGTTCGTGTAGGTCGGAGATATCGGCGGTGAGATGAGGCGCGGGGGTGCGCCTCAGGATGTCGGCGATCGGCTCAGTCACTGCGAATGCCGACCGGGCCGCTTTTTTCGCTGGCCACCTCGCGATGAGGTTCTCTCGATGGTTGGCCCTCTCGCACGGAGCAGGGCTGCTCGTCGGTTGACGTCTGTCGCTCGTGGACATCGGGGCGCTGTTGCTGGCCGCCTCGATGGCAGGCCCTTCAGCGTGGCGATGCGATGCGTTGCCCCTGCCGCTGCAGAGACCTTCAACTGCGCCCGTAGGTGCAGGTCGCGGGATCGCCGAAGATGATGTAGATATCCCACGTGCTGTTTCAACGCTCGGTCGCTCGGTCCCAGCTGGGCCCTTGCCCTGGGCTTTGCTGGTGTCGTCGTGATCTGTGGCGCTGCTGAATTTGGCAAAGGTGATGGCCGTGGTGCGTTCCTGCATTCTCAATCATTCCACTGCCCCTGAATGTGGGATGCACTTTTCTTGCATGCCGTGACAGGTCCCCGCGCGCGGCCAGGGCCTCCCAGTCTGCCCATCTGAACCGCGCCCTCCACGGGATGCTGGAGGTTTCTATCGCCCCGTTGCGGCGGGCCCTGCCGGACTGGGAAGCACCGGGCAATGGCGCGCCAGACTTGCCGCGTGCGGCGTCGTCCGAAAGTGGCCCAGCGCCGCTGTGCGACCGTCAGTGGGGCTGATTTGAACTCCCAGCGGCTTCGGCCACGTCGTCGCTCGTAGCCTCGTTGGTGGGGGCGTAGTCCTTGGGGGTCACCGCGGCGATCCTGCGGGGCTCGCTGGGGTCGTCGATTGTCGCCCTTCATATTCTTCGCGCGCTCGAGCCGCGCGTTGCCGGCGTTCGGGGTTCCCGCGATGGTGGCGCCGTTGATCCATTGTCCGGCGCGCCATTAAACCTCCTGATCTACTGTTTGTGGCGGCATCTGCTCCGCCGGGGCGATGCCGCCCCCGTTTTCTTCGCGGGCGACGGCGCGTCGATGTCGACGATCGCGCGGGCGCGGTCGGGCGGCGGGCGCGGCTGGCCTGGCGGCGCGGGGCTGGGCGCCCGCGCTAGTGGCGTCGGCCACTCGGCCACGTTGGCATGCCGGGGTTCTGCCGGCGGCGCGGGCGCGCGGTGCTGTCCCTGATCAGGTTCGAGTGGGTGTGGTGCGAGCGCCGCGAGGACTTCGGCTTCTCGGGCAATCTCGCCGGAATGAATACGGGCCCGCTGCGCATCTCCACCCCCCAGCGGGCGTTCCAGCGGCGGCGCGGGCGGGGGCGCAGCAGCGGCGGCGGTGGCGAAGTCCTCGTCGCACGCGCAGATAAATGCGTCGCGGGCGTCGCTGGTGGCGTCGGTCATCTCGACGCTGTCGGGGCGCTGCTGAGCGATGAGAGCTGCCGGTTTGGAGCGCTGGAATTCCTCTGTAGCTTCGCCGGTCCTCTTCTCGTGGGTTTTCGTCGTGGCTCCACGATGGGCCCTGCGCCGGCGCGCTTGCGTCGCGTTTGGGGGCTTCGCACTCATCTGCGGCGCCCGTCTCAGCTCGCCGCAGCGCGAGCTGAACGTGCCCTTCAGCTCGTAAAGCTTTGCAGTTCACTTGCCGCGCACAACTGCGCGCGTCGGCGGTGATCATTTGGATGCGTCCTCCTTGCCGCTTTGCGCCCTCAGCGCCCCTGTTGCGCGCGCGGCGCCCGAGGTTGACGAGCGCTTGCTGGCGCTCATCATCGGCCATGCGAATGGTGGCCTACATGCGCCTGCGTTGTTCCAGTAGCTCTTTTGTCGCTCGTCGGTATCCTTGCGCTGCATCGCTCCACTTCTGGCGCCGGATTCTGTTGTCTACCTGGCATTTCATCTTGGCTTCGGCTGCCTAGGCGTCGACGTCGGCGACGCGGTCCTCGGCTCGAGGGCCGCGTTGTCGAGAATTCGTATTATCCTACGACCCTTCCTGCATCCCGCAGGTTATTTCCTGCGTTGGCCCGCGCGACGTCGGTGTCGGCGAGCTTCCACTGCGCTGCCAGCAATTCTTTCTGTGGTTGGCGGTCGGCTGTTGCGCGCGGCCGGTGCCCCATATCTCTCGTCGATCTCCGCGCGGCGCCCAGCCCCCCCCCCGGCCCGCGCGAGCTCCTCCACGCCAGCGGCGTGCACTCGCGGCGCGCCATCATCTGTTCTGTCGTCTGCTCAGCGCTGCACATGTCGTTCTTGAGCGCGTCGTGGAACTCACTGGCTTTAGTCGCCTCGTGCTGTTGATTATGTTCACGTTTCTGCGTTGCTTCTTTCGCTGTTCGGAGATGTATTTTGAGGCCGGTGGTATCGTCGTCTTCCGGCCGCGCGCTGGTTGTCTTCCTTCAGAGCCCTGAGCATGGTGCCGACGTCCTGTCCGTCGGCGGTTTCACCTGCCCTCGTTTGCCTCCTTGGAGATGGGGCTGGCGTGGGCGATCTTCTTTGCGGCGTGTTCCTGCGTTGTTGATATGATTCCTCTTCCGCAGCTCCATCGTCGTTGTAGCGGTCGCCCCTGGCTTTAATGATGTCGCAATGGAGGGCGGTGAGATCCTCGATGTCGTTCTCCAGCTCGTTCGCGAAGGTCGTTGTTTGTTGCCGGTGGGTCTTGGCATGCTCGTCGTAGGTCTTCCATGGTTCACTTGGCGCCGTCGATCTCCCTGCCCTGTTGGGCCACTGCGTTCATGAAGGCAAAATGTGCGACTTCGTCGGCGGTGGGTAGTCCTGCTGCGCTCGCTGTTCTTGACCATGGCAGTTGCCGCTCTTCGCTCCTCCGAATGTTTAATCTTCACCAAGTCGTTTCTCAACTAGTGGCCGTTTGGCGGGAGTTACCAGTTGTGCTTCCTGGCGGCGTGCATTTTCCTCATGGGCATGACGTTGTTGATCGCGTTGGTGACGTGGTCGTTGTGGTCCTGGCCGTCGTCTAACGTTTTGGGAGTAGTTTCGTTCTCAAAGTGGGTTTTGCCCGTTCCCTCGTCGTTATTGTCCTTGCCCTTCTGGTTGCGGTTGGCGGGCCCTTGGCGGTCGGTCCTCCCTTTGCCGTCCTGGTGGTTGCCTTTCCCATTGCCGTTATGGCTGGCTCCAGAAATTGTCGGAGTGTTTGTTGGCCCACTGGTCCGTCCAGTTGTTGTTCCTCCGACGTTTGAATCCTGCACCAATGGCTGGTGTAATGGGCCTCGATGTCGTGGCTCTGGATTGTGGTCGGCTCGATGTTGCTTTCCATGGTGGTGGCGCGGTTACCGATCCATTCGCGGCTGCTCCCCGTGATGTCGCCATGTTTGGAATTCAAGGTAGATGCCGTGGTGGCTGCTGGGCTCTGTGGTGCGAGTCGAGGAGGTCGCGTGCTACTGCGACCCTGAATAGGGTGCGTGTTGCTGCTCGTTGTCGGCGTTCGCGTCTGTGCCGCGATGGCTCCCCGGTGCAAGCCGTGGTGGTTGAGGTGGCTCTGCGTACAGATACTGGAGTAGCTAGCGGTAAACTGACACATGGGAAATATGATAAACGGAATTCTAAAAAGGTGAATGGAAAGTGAATGTGGTAATACATGTTCTGGTGCAGGTACGGCAGGTTCGTGTCGTGCCGACCCCGGCGTTGGTTCCTGACACCGCGCTGGATCGTTCAATGTTGAACGATCGGCCGTCTCCGCAACGTCCGATCGTTCAACATCGATCGATTCTGGGTCGCCGGCGGCGTTCAACCTTGAACGCCCGCGCTGGGGTCGCCGCCGGTCGACACGACGCGAACCTACCGTACGCGAGCGCCCCCCTGAGGGCGGGGCACAGGGCTGGCTGCCGCCCAAATCCTTCGGGCACGGGGCTAACCTCCTCATCATCATCCTTCTCCTCCTCCATCCCTACTCCTTATAAATAACTTCTCCCTGTCGCACCCCGAAGCCAGTTTCTAGGGCGTGCCGGGCGTTCCGCCTGGAAGTGTGGCTCTCGCCTCAACGCCACGCACATTCGTTTTAACAATTTGAAAATCTTCCACGGATTGAGGGCGAGTCGTTTTTTTTTAAATGTGGCTCGCGCCTGAGCGCCACGCCCATTCGTTTTTGAATGTTGCAAGAGCTTCGCGGAGTGAAGGCGGGTGGTTTTCATAATGTGGCTCTCGCCTCAGCGCCACGCACATTCGTTATCACAATTTGCAAGAGCTTCACGGATTGAGGGCGGGTAGTTTTCATAATGGCGGGTAGTTTTCATAATGTGGCTCTCGCCCTAGCGCTGCGCACATTCGTTTAAACTGTTCGCGAGAGCTTCACGGACTGAGGGCTGAGCCTTTTCATTTCACGGATTCCCATGATCAACAAACTTGAAGGGTTCAGGATTATGAGGGTACGACAGTTACGTTTAATCGCGGTGTTTAAATCCCACGAGTGATGTTCTGGCGCGACTCAAGATCGTCAAGACGCAACAATCAGGCTGATCCGTGGCGCTGGAATCCCGAGAACAATGCGTTGGCATGCTTCAGGGTCTTCAAACTGTTGTCTGCCAACGAGGCAGTTCCCCCAGTGGAAACGAACCGTTGTAGGGGCCTATGAAGCGGGAGCTTTGAGGGAGGGTTTATTCCAACATCGTTGATGATTCTTGGGTTTCCACTGGTCCTCGTCCTCCTCCTCCCTGGGGCCACCGTGGAGACGCTGGCCGCTCCACGAAGTCTGGGAAGAGCGCCACGAACTCCGCGTCGCGGGCGTTCACCGCCCACGACTCCTCCAGAGGGGGCGAGGGGACGGTTCCTGCGACATTTCTCTCGCGAGCTACCAGGCTTACGTGCACCTTGGCTCTGACCGGATGGCGGGCCCTTAACGCATAGACGAATTGATGTTGCCCTCACGGTACAGCTGGCGAACCCATCGGTATCGACGTCCCACCAGACCTACCCGACATCCGCATCAACGTGCCGTCCACATCCACCCGGGTGCCGTCCACATCCACACCCACGTCTTCCCCCTCGTCCTCGTCCGTTCCTCGAGCCTCTCCCGCTTCGTCGTCCTGCCGCTTGATCGCCTCCCCATTCCCTTCCTCCAACTTCGGAACGGGTGGTCACCGCGGTCGGAGCATGGAAAAGCAACCCCGAGCCATTCCCTTCTGGACTCCCGAGAATCAATTTCCCTCTGGGTCTGCAACAACGTCCGTCGGGCGACTCTTCGAACCCGAGCGCGCTTCCCGTCATTCGCAAGCGCATCTCAGGATGCGATCCCGACCCCGCGATCCGAGAACAGTAGCATAACAGAACAACAATCAACGTCAGAGGCGCTTCCGATCAACTAACAGAGAGATACCTGGGTCTCAGCCCGCTCCAAGAAAAAACAACCGACCCGCGCATATTCAGAAAGAGGAAAGTGGGACGAAGAGGAGAGAACAAGGAATGGGGATTCCCCCGTCTCCTCCTCCTCCTCCTCCTCCTCCTCCTCCTTCTCCTCCTCCCTCCTCCTCCCTCCTCCTCTTCCTCCTCTTCCTCCTCCTCATCATCATAAGTAGCATCGTCATCGTCATCGTCATCGTCATCGTCATCATCGTCATCGTCATCGTCATCACTATCACTATCACTATCACTATCACTATCACTATCATCATCATCATCATCATCATCATCATCATCATCATCATCATCATCATCGTCAGCATCATCATCATCATCATCATCATCATCATCATCATCATCATCATCATCATCATCATCGTCATCATCATCATCATCATCATCATCATCGTCAGCATCATCAGCATCATCATCATCATCATCATCATCATCATTATCATCATCTTCATCATCATCATCGTCATCATCACCATCACCATCACCATCACCATCACCATCACCATCACCCTCATCATCATCATCATCAGCATCATCATCATCATCTTCATCATCAGCATCATCAGCATCGTCATCATCATCACCATCGCCGTCACCATCACCATCACCACCATCATCACCGTATTCAACCTCCACTGCGGTTGGTGGGAGGAGTGGTGATACGAGAAGGGCCAGAACTGGACGCCCATCCTGGCCCCGCCTCTCTCGATCCTTCCTGGACGACAGCGGCGGCGGCGACGGCGGCGGCACTCTCTGGCCCCGGGGGCTCCGTCGCAAGCTCCCGCCGGCGGGCCTCCGGCGCCACGATGGCCCCGTAGCCCGTCTCGGCGTCGGAGACGAAGAAAGACAGCAGGCCTCCAGCGGCCGTGGGCGGCCATCGCTCGGCGGCGGCGTCGTCGTCGACGTCGGCGAGGCAATGTCGCCGTGGCAACGCCGCCGAAGGAACGTCGTCGTCGACGGCAACGTCGTAGTCACCGTCGATGGTGGCTGGGGGGGGGTGCTAGGGAGAACCGAGTGAAAAGAAAAGCCAATCCGCGCGGCGACCTCGCAGGGCATTCACAGGATGATGTTTTGCCAGGCGACAGTGGGATTCGCGAAAATTACAATGAAACCGAACAAGCTACTCCGACGGTGAGACTCCGCATGAGAATTGAATTGGTTTGCCCCTGGCTCTTTCCTGTTCGCCCTGGCGGGAGCTCTCCTCCCACCATCTGTTGCGCCTCCTCCTCCTCATCCGCATCCTTCCCGTCATCCGTCACCTCCTCCTTCTCGTCATCCTTATTCCATGTCTTATCCTCCTCCTCCTTTCCCCCTCCTCCTACTCATCCTCCCCATCCTCCTCCTCCTCTCCTCCTCCTCCTCCTCCTCCTCCTCCTCCTCCTCCTCCTTCTCTTCCTCCTCCTCCTCCTTTTTGATCCTCCTCCTCCTCCATTTTCCTCCTCCTCCTCTTCTCCTCCTCCTCTTTCTCCTACTCCTCCTCCTCCGCTTCCTCCTCCTCCTCCTCCTCCTCCGCCCATGCCGAAGCGCTCTAGGACAGCCGTGGCGAAAACCTCCGGCGCATGCTGCTTCGATCTCTGCACGTCATGGATCCAAGTTTACCCGAACCGGTGGACGACGCGATCTTCGTGCGCGGCCACCCGCTTCCAAAACGCTCGGTGCCGCCACCGCGGTTTCTCTTGATCCGGTTCCCCTTCCCCTCTCCTTCACCTGCCTCTCCGCATCCGCCCCCCGTCGCCTCTCGCTCCCCCCCCGCCCCCTCTGCCTCCTCCCTCTTCCGCTATTTCCGCTTTCCTGCCTTTGGCCTCCCCGTGCGCGAATGGGCCATATCAGCCCGACAGCCACAGGTGGGAGAGCTGCGTTCCAGACCCCAGTGGTGGAACCCATCCTATCAAAGACTGCTCAGCAAAGGTGCAGAGTATGAAACAGGGCCCTCCAGACATAGTTCACCTGGGCCCCTCATCTCCCCCCCTCCCACTCCCCCCTTTCTTGGGCAGGCCGCGGGAGCGAGAGCTCGAATCGTCAATGTAGCGGAGGTGACGCCCTCCGCCCACGCTCGCCCGCCAGCAGCTTCAAGAATGGCTGCGTGGGGCGAATGGATGGACGAGGAGGCACCAGAGACCACCTCATCCCCAAACCACCCCTCCTCCACCACCAACACCAGGAAGACAAAAAACAACACGGGAGACGGGTTTCCAGACCACCAGGCCCCATTGTCCGTTGTCCTCCTCCTCCCATCCTTTTTGCGATACTCTGACTTCGATCGATTGAACATATGTCCTCCTCCTCCTCCTCCTCCTCCTCCGCCTCCACCTCCTCCTCCTCCTCCGCCCCCGCTTCCTCCTCCCCCTCCTCCTTCTCCTCCTCCTTCTCCTCCTCCTCCTTCTCCTCCTCCGTCCCCTCCCCCTCCCACCCCCCGCTCCACCTCCCCCTCACCCTCCTCCTCCTCCTCCTCCTCCATATCCTCCTCCTCCTCCTCCTCCTCGCGGCGGCCGAGGTGGCCGTGAGCGAAAATCGAGAATCGGGCCCCGAGGGAGCGAAGCGCGGAGTCGCCCCTGGAGGGCGGGGAAACGCCGCGTCCCCCTCCCTTGTGGCGGATGATAGCGATGGCGGTCGTGTGTAGATGGCGGACATAATGACAAAACCGCGCCACGCAAGCACCGTGCCGCATCGGATCGCCAAGAGTATCGCAAACCAAATCGGATCGAGCGGGCCAAGGTCGATACCGATGATCGATCGGGTCGAATTCGGCCCTGGCGTGCCCCAGGCCTCCTCCTCCTCCCGCGGCGAGCCTACGAGGATTGTCTCAACCGACCAGGCGGGGTTCCAGCTCTCTGGGTGGAAGTCCGTCATGCTGAGGCAGAGGCGCTTGCCAATCTCCATCCGCCCGCTCGGAGTCACCATCAAGATGCCCGGGGGCGCGTGTGGGTACTCTGGGGGAAAGAGGATCTTTCCGTGGTAGCAGCCTCCCCGGAAGGCAAAAAGGGGGCAAAGGAGGAAGGAGGACGAGGAGGAGGACGACCGTACGGCAACTCAACGAAGCGCTGACGTCGCTGTTGGTTTTTGACACAGCGTGGACCGTTCAACCTTGAAAGATCGCGGCTTTCCGATGACGCAAATCGCTAGATGTATGCGGATTCCGGGCCACTGGCGGCGTTCACCCTGGTAATTACACCCGCGCTGGTGCCGCCGCGGCGAGAACCTGCCATGTTAGGAGAGGTTTTCAACTTCCATGGGTGGACGGAGACCCTTTCAACAAGACACCGTTTACCGAAAACGGCCCGGGTCCACACCCAGCGGGCGCAGGCCCGCAACAACTGCGGCCGCAACACCCTGTCGAGAACCGAAGCTGTTGATTTGCTAATCGGCTTGGCAGGGCGATGGCGCTATCAGCCTTCGACACGCGCGGGCCTCTGGAGGCTTCCGGAACTCCAGGGCCCATAACCCATGGGACCTCAGATGACCCCAGGTCGCCGTGGGGACGCCAGACGACGCGCACGATGACAAGTGCGGGGGTGAATCGGGTCTTCTTGTGGCACTGGCCACCGCGAGAAGCAGCGTGAGGGAGAGGGGGGGTGTCTAGAGGAAACTGCAACTGCACCTAACACAAATATGTGACCGTCCCTACTTCTCTATCCAACAAACAAGCTCCGTGAGGTGCCACGCCAAGGCACCACCGTGGGCAGCACCACGCCGAATTAAAGGCCGCCTGAAGCCCTCGCAAGCAGCGTTCTGGGGGCGTCGCCGCGAAGGGCCCCCAAGGGCCTAGGGTTAGGTCGGGCATGTCCCCCTACAGGGGGATTTTGGGCGAAAAAATTGAAATACTCAACAAATACCCCGTACATGAACAAACCATACTAAAAATTATCGTCCCCAGACTATTTTTGTCACTATTTTTGAATACTCGTCCTGTAGAAGGACACGCCCGAGTTAAGCCTAGGGGCCACGAGGGGCCACGCCACAGCCTCAAAGTGGAGGGCACGGCCACGCCCCAAAGGGACCCGGCCCCTCCGCCACGCAGCGCCCCCCGACGGATGTGGCTCCACGCCCCCAGGGCCTCCGGGCGAACGCACTCCGGCAGAAACGATCTACGCTGGGCCCCCAGTGAGATCCTGGGTGCGCAGTGAGCGGGGGCAAAGGGAACCGCGAGGAGCACTAAGAACAGGCGGCCTCTCATTTGAAAGGGCCGTCACCCGAAGCACATGGGTGTTGCGCTGACGGCAGATATCCTTGCTTTCGCATGAACTTGATGACACGGCGCGGTCCAAGTAAGAAGAATCCCCCCCCCCCCTTGGTGGAACCCAAACCTCGCCGTGCGCCCCTTCCCGATATATATATATATATATATATATATATATATATATATACACACATATACATATACATATACATATACTAGAACCACGCGCGCGCTTCGCGCGCGCTTAGGTTCTAGCGCATGCGTTTCCGATTGCAACCTCCGCTTGGGACGACGAGTACGATGGCCTCGACAACGACAACGACGACGATGACGATTACGACGACGATGACGTCGGACGACCACGCGCTGCTTTCACTGTTCATCTTGCGCCTTTGGCTGGCGATATGCCTCGTCGCCGATACCGCTACAAATGCTCGTTAACTCCTCGGCCCGCGCGTTCTATCCCTTTCCACTCCGTCGGGACAGGCCCGATTTAAAACTAACGCGTGGCGAAACCCGCACGACTTGGACTCGAGAGCATCTGCGGTCTTCCTGGACACAAGTCTGCAGGGGGCGAAGACCAGGCGCCCTCGCCGGTCTGATCGCTCTTCCTGCCTGACGGCGCGCCCGCAGAATGTCCGTCGGTCTCCGAACAACCGCGGTCGGGCCCGCGCAAGCTGGCCAACGCCGAAACGCAGGTGCGCTTCGCCGCCGCGTTCAGCAAATCAGAAGACTTCTGCCTTAGCCGCGAGCCAGATGCCGACCTGGGGATCCATGGGGTGGGCGAATTGAAATAAAAGATGCCGCGGCTTCCTGGGACGCAACTGCAGAGCACCAAGACGCCTCCACCCGTCACTTCGGCGCGCGCAATGGACGCCCCATGCGCCGCCAGGCCGCCGGTCTCCGCGCCCAGGGGCCCACGAGAATAACCATGCGCCCCTGATTATATAAAAAACCTGGGGCATGATAAAGTGCGGGGTCCCGGGGGCAAAACGAACGATTCATTCGCGACACATCGTGCGTGGGATGTATGGCGAGGAAAGAAGAGGTCGTGCGTCGGATGACCTGAATCAGATTATCAGTGCGAATCCCGAGATGCCCTTCGATGAATCATCACTGAGCTCAAGTCAGCAGACCAAAGCCCCAATCAGAATTTGCATGTCTACGGCTACGGACAGAACATGACTAAACAGGAACGTCTAATGGATGTCTCGCGCAAGGGGCATATATGCATGCAGGTACTTCGAACGGTGGGACTTCCAGGGGCCGAGGTTCAACTTCAGGGCAAGGCTAAAGATGAAGTTCGTTACATAGGTCCGTATCTTTCTATGAGTGACTCGGCACGTAGGGAAGTCCATCGACGGCGTGCTGCAGCACGAGGGAGCTTTGCTTCGTTGGGAGGCGCTCGGGGCCTCAGTGTTCCCTGGAGGTGGAAGAGGAGCTTGATTATTGGGGTGCTAAAAAAATCGCTTCTGCGCTGCCTCGAGAGCTTCGCTGTGAACGCGGCCGATTACGATCTCCTCCATAATTGTTTAGCAAGGATCGGACGGGTGGCGCTAGGAGGTACGGCTGACTTCGAGGGGGCCTCACGTGAAGACACTTCATAACAAACAGGTCCTGTCCCGTCTCCGTCTCGCGCCCTCCGAAACGGAGATTCTTATCCGCAGGCTTAAGCTCTACCAGACTTGGAGTCGGTGTTCTATAGATCATGGTCAGGTGTTGTGCGCTCTCTTCGGGGTCGCGGACGTTGACAAGTTTCGACCTCGGCTCTTTGGGGGGCGACCGACGCAGTGGGCATCTCCGTGGACTCGCCAGGTTTCGTCTGAGCTCGACCGTGCCAGCCAGCGCT